GAAGTTTGACCTTGATGAAAATGGTTTTCGATGTGCGGCTAGAACTTTGCACGCGCTACATTTTGGTGCCAAAATTTTGAAAATCGGACAATATTTAGTGGCACTTTTTCAGTTCCCCGTCCTTTGACCTTGTATTTGACCTTGAAGTTTGACCTTGATGAAAATGGTTTTCGATGTGCGGCTAGAACTTTGCACGCGTTACATTTTGGTGCCAAAATTTTGAAGATCGGACAATATTTAGTGGCACTTTTTCAGTTCCCCGTCCTTTAACCTTGAATTTGACCTTGAACTTTGACCTTGATGAAAATGGTTTTCGTTGTGCGGCTAGAACTTTGCACGCGTTACATTTTGGTGCCAAAATTTTGAAGATCAGACAATATCTAGTGGCACTTTTTCAGTTCCCCGTCCTTTGATCTTGAATTTGACCTTGAAGTTTGACCTTGATGAAAATGGTTTTCGATGTGCGGCTAGAACTTTGCACGCGCTACATTTTGGTGCCAAAATTTTGAAGATCGGACAATATCCAGTGGCACTTTTTCAGTTCCCCGTCCTTTGACCTTGAATTTGACCTTGAAGTTTGACCTTGATGAAAATGGTTTTCGATGTGCGGCTAGAACTTTGCACGCGCTACATTTTGGTGCCAAAATTTTGAAAATCGGACAATATTTAGTGGTACTTTTTCAGTTCCCCGTCCTTTGACCTTGAATTTGACCTTGAAGTTTGACCTTGATGAAAATGGTTTTCGATGTGCGGCTAGAACTTTGCACGCGCTACATTTTGGTGCCAAAATTTTGAAGATCGGACAATATCTAGTGGCACTTTTTCAGTTCCCCGTCCTTTGACCTTGAATTTGACCTTGAAGTTTGACCTTGATGAAAATGGTTTTCGATGTGCGGCTAGAACTTTGCACGCGCTACATTTTGGTGCCAAAATTTTGAAAATCAGACAATATTTAGTGGCACTTTTTCAGTTCCCCGTCATTTGACCTTGAATTTGACCTTGAAGTTTGACTTTGATGAAAATGGTTTTCGATGTGCGGCTAGAACTTTGCACGCGCTACATTTTGGTGCCAAAATTTTGAAAATCGGACGATATTTAGTGGCACTTTTACAGTTCCCCGTCCTTTGACCTTGAATTTGACCTTGAAGGTCAAGGTTTAGGGGTGAATGGGTTCGATTTTCGTGATCCCCATGGTCCAATTGATCTTAGACGAAGTTTTGGCTAAAATCGGTGCTCGTCGCTGGAAAAGTCGCTGGTGACGTAGCATTTTTAAAGTTCCCCGTTCTTTGACCTTGAATTTGACCTTGAAGTTTGACCTTGATGAAAATAGTTTTCGATGTGCGGCTAGAACTTTGCACGCGCTACATTTTGGTGCCAAAATTTTGAAGATCGGACAATATTTAGTGGCACTTTTTCAGTTCCCCGTCCTTTGACCTTGAATTTGACCTTGAAGTTTGACCTTGATAAAAATGGTTTTCGATGTGCGGCTAGAACTTTGCACGCGCTACATTTTGGTGCCAAAATTTTGAAGATCGGACAATATTTAGTGGCTCTTTTCAGTTCCCCGTCCTTTGACCTGAATTTGACCTTGAAGTTTGACCTTGATGAAAATGGTTTTCGATGTGCGGCTAGAACTTTGCACGCGCTACATTTTGGTGCCAAAATTTTGAAGATCGGACAATATTTAGTGGCTCTTTTCAGTTCCCCGTCCTTTGACCTTGAATTTGACCTTGAAGTTTGACCTTGATGAAAATGGTTTTCGATGTGCGGCTAGAACTTTGCACGCGCTACATTTTGGTGCCAAAATTTTGAAGATCGGACAATATCTAGTGGCACTTTTTCAGTTCCCCGTCCTTTGACCTTGAATTTGACCTTGAAGTTTGACCTTGATGAAAATGGTTTTCGATGTGCGGCTAGAACTTTGCACGCGCTACATTTTGGTGCCAAAATTTTGAAAATCGGACAATATCTAGTGGCACTTTTTCAGTTCCCCGTCCTTTGACCTTGAATTTGACCTTGAAGTTTGACCTTGATAAAATGGTTTTCGATGTGCGGCTAGAACTTTGCACGCACTACATTTTGGTGCCAAAATTTTGAAGATCGGACAATATTTAGTGGCACTTTTTCAGTTCCCCGTCCTTTGACCTTGAATTTGACCTTGAAGTTTGACCTTGATGAAAATGGTTTTCGATGTGCGGCTAGAACTTTGCACGCGCTACATTTTGGTGCCAAAATTTTGAAAATCGGACAATATTTAGTGGCACTTTTTCAGTTCCCCGTCCTTTGACCTTGAATTTGACCTTGAAGTTTGACCTTGATGAAAATGGTTTTCGATGTGCGGCTAGAACTTTGCACGTGCTACATTTTGGTGCCAAAATTTTGAAAATCGGACAATATTTAGTGGCACTTTTTCAGTTCCCCGTCCTTTGACCTTGAATTTGACCTTGAAGGTCAAGGTTTATGGGTGAATGGGTTCGATTTTCGTGATCCTCATGGTCCAATTGACCTTGGACGAGGTTTTGGCTAAAATCGGTGCTCGTCGCTGGAAAAGTCGCTGGTGACGTAGCATTTTTAAAGTTCCCCGTTCTTTGACCTTGAATTTGACCTTGAAGTTTGACCTTGATGAAAATGGTTTTCGATGTGCGGCTAGAACTTTGCACGCGCTACATTTTGGTGCCAAAATTTTGAAGATCCGACAATATCTAGTTGCACTTTTTCAGTTCCCCGTCCTTTGACCTTGAATTTGACCTTGAAGTTTGACCTTGATGAAAATGGGTTTCGATGTGCGGCTAGAACTTTGCACGCGCTACATTTTGGTGCCAAAATTTTGAAAATCGGACAATATCTAGTAGCACTTTTTCAGTTCCCCGTCCTTTGACCTTGAATTTGACCTTGAAGTTTGACCTTGATGAAAATGGTTTTCGATGTGCGGCTAGAACTTTGCACGCGCTACATTTTGGTGCCAAAATTTTGAAAATCGGACAATATTTAGTGGCACTTTTTCAGTTCCCCGTCCTTTGACCTTGAATTTGACCTTGAAGTTTGACCTTGATAAAAATGGTTTTCGATGTGCGGCTAGAACTTTGCACGCGCTACATTTTGGTGCCAAGATTTTGAAGATCGGACAATATCTAGTGGCACTTTTTCAGTTCCCCGTCATTTGACCTTTAATTTGACCTTGAAGTTTGACCTTGATGAAAATGGTTTTCGATGTGCGGCTAGACCTTTGCACGCGCTACATTTTGGTGCCAAAATTTTGAAGATCGGACAATATCTAGTGGCACTTTTTCAGTTCCCCGTCATTTGACCTTGAATTTGACCTTGAAGTTTGACCTTGATGAAAATGGTTTTCGATGTGCGGCTAGAACTTTGCACGCGCTACATTTTGGTGCCAAAATTTTGAAGATCGGACAATATCTAGTGGCACTTTTTCAGTTCCCCGTCCTTTGACCTTGAATTTGACCTTGAAGTTTGACCTTGATGAAAATGGTTTTCGATGTGCGGCTAGAACTTTGCATGCGCTACATTTTGGTGCCAAAATTTTGAAGATCGGACAATATTTAGTGGCACTTTTTCAGTTCCCCGTCCTTTGACCTTGAATTTGACCTTGAAGGTCAAGGTTTAGGGGTGAATGGGTTCGATTTTCGTGATCCTCATGGTCCAATTGACCTTGGACGAGGTTTTGGCTAAAATCGGTGCTCGTCGCTGGAAAAGTCGCTGGCGACGTCGCCAACTTCACGGACATAATTTGCAATGCATCGGGAGAGTGAGACAGTCACTCTTTGAAAATTCAACGATCGGCACCCTGAATGAACTCATGAATAGAATACAGCTCTCAGTAAGTCAGTAGAAATAAATGTCACATAATGAGCTTAATCACAGTCAGAGCAGCTAGGCCAATTTACTGCCAGATTTACTCTGAGCGCTACTGGCATATTCAACAGTTGATGAAGCCAAATTGTTTCGCATCATGAAATTCTGTGGCATTCTGCCTGAGTCAAGTAAATGATGCATCGTGTTTAGAGAAATTAAAACAAAAACTGACTTCCTTTTTTCAATGATAAAACTGCGGTGACTTCAAGCATGGAAATAGCTCACAATAGGTACATATTTTTAATGTTCTCTTTGCTGCTTTGCACCCTTCCTCCATCCCTCCCACCCCCCCCCCCCCCCCCACACACAACAAAAATACCGGAACTATAGTTCGTTTTTCTTAAGTTTGCCCTTCACTGTAAACGTCTTTTTGAACATAGCACGAGAATTGCTAGCTGAATTACTGAGAAAACTGGTTGGCGCACATTGATTTGACCAGATTTCACAGACGATCAATTTCATCAAATATATTTACTATTTCACAGACTCGTAGCTCGTATTTGCCAATACCTACAGCCCCACAGGGATAGACGACTTTTCAGGAATTATGTCTGAACTAATAAATAAATTGCACGGCGCTTAACATAACGTTAAATCGTCGGTGTTCAAAACTTATTTTTGAAAATATTATTCATATCTACAATACAATGTGCGTTAACCAGTTTTCTCAGTAATTCAGCTAGCGATTCTCGTGCTTTGTTCAAAAAGACGTTTACAGTGAAGGGCAAACTTAAGAAAAACGAACTATAACTATTAACGCCTTTCTGCTGAGTCTGCTGAGAGGCTGTTGACAAGTATCCGATCACGGACCAGTAACACTTAATCACAAACTTTCGGGCCGCATTTTTCAAAAATTGAAATCCTTTGCAATTTTCTTGAGTTTATTGACCGGCATGCCGGTCAATAAAAAAACCGCAATTTTTTAAAAGGCATCGCAGTTAGAAGCACAATCACTGGGTAGTGTGGCCGACTTTTTGCTTCAGTTTGGATTGACGAGAAATTCGGGAAACGAGCTTAGCTTTTAACAGGAACAATAGATACTCTTTAATGCGTCCTAGATGTTCACTCATCCATTCGAACTTTTAAACAAACTTGTATTTACCTCAAAACATCAGCAAGAGACGTACCTTGAACCGTAGGACTCCCACAGGTGGCTTGGCGTACGGAATGCCCTGGAACGAGTAGAAGGTCTCGCCGGCGAGGCTGGTGTCGATCTGGCCAACCATGCGGCCCTGTGCGACAGTCACGTCCGGCGGTGTGGCCTCCAGGGGCAGCGCGGCAGCCGCCAGCAGCAACAGACGTCCTGTCAGCTCCATGGTACTGCTGATAGGAAATCCCCGCGGCCTCAGAGCGCGCAGACAGCCGGTCACGGAGCGCCGTGCGACTGCTGAGGAGGTACCGTGCGACTGCTGAGGAGGCCAGGGACTGACTGGGAGCTCCCGGCCCAACTCCGAGTTCTCCCCTGACGCCGGGCGCTGCGACACGAGCGGGTTCAAGGCTGGCTGTCTCTGGCACGTCGGAGACCTCGCCTCATCATATACAGCAGGGACCGCCTATCACAGCTGCTGCCGCAGGCCAAATTACCCTCATCACGCACATGTGCACTGTATCGGGAGCCGAGCGTGCTCATTATCACAGTACCTGTTTTGTCCCGTCTATGAGTCAACAGCAAAGTGGAACAATGACGTTCCTTCGAGCTTTATTAGTCATTCATGCATGTCGTCTTCTTCCGTCCATTTTCAAGCGCTAGTGTAATTGGCATCTGCATTCTGGAAGGATAGAAGAGAATGTGGATCCTCTAGAGCATGGCCATGGATGCAAATGAGAGAGGGAGAGAAAGGGCGGGGAGAAAGAGAAAGAGAGGAGAGAGAGAAACAGAGGATGAGAGAAAGAGAGAGAGGAGGAGAAAGAGAATGAGAAGGAGAGAAAGAGAGAGAAAGAGAGAGAGAGAGAGAGAGAGAGAGAGAGAGAGAGAGAGAGAGAGGAGATAGAGAGGGAGAGAGAGAGAGGGGAGAAAAAGAGAGGAGTTGCGAACTTTGCATTGGGCATGTATTTTGATTTGCTCGCCCCTTATCCTTTTTGTACAAGACCACTTGTAGGCACTTACGAGTACATTGAGTCTGATAAGCTGGTAGAATCTATGAAGTCAGAGGCTCAATATCGCAAACATTACAATAGCTTTAAGGTGATTTGGAATTATTGCTGATCCTAGTTAGTGGCGCTAATGCATCCAGAATCAAGAATGATTTGTCAAGGCTGAGAAGCGTGAAGTGCCGTACCTCACCAACCTGTTACCCAATGCTTGGTCTATAGCAGGAAGGTAATTGAGCGTGACAAGAGCCATACTTGGATGTTAGTCTTAGCATTACGGTGGACGTCGAGCGTAAAAGTCGACGATAGCGACATCACGCAATCGACTGCTTGAAGAGGACTGTGCGGCAAGCCTTTATAAAGGACGAGTGACAGTTAAAGGCAGAGTTTATGCATGACAAGCATTGGGGTTACAAATCAAAGCACACTCTTACGGTGCACTCATCTAATTTTCATTTAAATGTTATTGTACAGTGCCCTTATTGCAGTCATTTCGTCCCTCCGGTCTGTCATTAGTATGCATGAGTCAGTCACTTAGTCATCAAATGTCGAAATATCTATTTTTTCCTACCTAATATTTTTATTTTTGGCCGATCTGTAAATTCTAGTGCGGTGCGAATGCGTAGGAAGTGCGTGGAACGGCTCAAGATATTCAAATTTAGTTCGGTAATTATTTTTCTGAATTACAACTGTTTTAAGATTTAGTAAGTAGCCTTAATGATAGTGCAAGGCATATGATATGTGCATATGATTGATCCACGAGGTTATATCTCAATTTTATAACTTGTCTTGCGTCTTGTTAACTGTTTTTCTATTTCGAAGCACTTTGATGAGTTCTTTTGACAACCAATGAGGCGGAAGATATCTTAGTGCAGATGACTGTACCGAATTGTGTATTCGATCGATAAATGTTCTAAACGGTACTTACAGCTTATACCTGCATGTTGTCGGTACATGTTGTCGGTACTATCTGGGTGCGTATTCAGTCGACACATTCAACAACAGCAGTATCTTTCAACTACACCAATGCAACACGGAAAACGGCAAACATTAATTGACAACTCAATCTGAACATCGACCCGATGTTTGGTTTACCTGAAACGTAACCAAATACGATGTCCCCACCTGTCAGCAACCGATCGATACCTCGCACAGAGCTGCCCTCTCCATATAACAGCCAACGGCACACGCACGCATACTGTTCGCACAGTTCACACATCTTTCGCTCAGTATCGCTCAGCACCCGCTGTCCGACAGTCCGACCCCGGGGCGCCCGACCAGCGCGGTCAGGTCACCACGAGACACTCCATGTGGAGAGACGGCTAGTTATTGACACCACCTGCCCTGCCAGATACACCATAGGACATAATAATTCCACGGGTCTCACAACACAGGGCCAACCATTGACCCCTCACCGCTGCACGGGAACAGTCTGTTGTGTTGGTCTGTCATACCCATACCCACTTGGGAACTCGCACCAACACCGATACATACATGGAGCTGGCGTCTGTGGGGCCGACCGCCGCTCCAACGTGACATTTCATTGGCTTCTGAGCATTAGTGGCGACGTCTGCAGCTATCGCTGCAGCAACAGTTTTTTTAATGAGCGCAGAACACCATTTCACCGATGGCTTTTTGTCAACATCCTTCTGAGCATCTAATAGGCACCGAAGCGGGCATAAAGAGAAACGACAAATATGTCACAAAATTTTCATTGATGCTAGAATAATTATGTACTTACATACAATAGAGAAGACACACTAGTAAAAAATCAAATGCATTTGAGAACACGCCTCTAGAATGGTCGTAAAGAGTCCTTCGCGGGTTTGTTACAACATTTAAACATATTTTCAAAATTAATTTATAAAAAGCACATAGCGTCACTTTGTGAGTTCGCTTTTCAGTACCATATCAGCGTCTTATTAGCCAATGGCTCTGTAAAGGGTCAACCCTGGCCATTTAGTAATACGGCCAGCAGACCGTCCGTTCTTCCTGAACCACCAGACCCGCTACAGAGTACCGAGCCCTAGCGAGACCACAATCGAACCGATTAGTCTCAGACCAGTGGTCTGGTCCAGATCGAGCCTATAGGACAGCAGGCAGATCAGCCGTCCGACCCGGACCAAACTCACAGGGGTAGCGGTCCTGAACCGGCCCAGTCGGACCTGCAGAGAGCCAGGTGACCGGTCAGGTCGGTGTCAGACTTGGAGCCGGGCCGGGTTCGGAGCAGTGACCTGTCAGGTCAGAGTCATGGCTCGACGGTCACGGTCGTTGTCCCGCCGGCCAGCGCGCTGGCTCCCAGCTCTGCCCCGGTCGGTCCCAGCAGGCTATCTGTTGTCGTCCAGCGCACTGGCCGCTGTCGTCGTCTGGTTGAACGAGGGCTTCAGACCTCGGTAGATCTCCTCGTTTTCTTTTCGGACTGCAACACAAACAGAGATTATGTCACAATTAATAAGATGGTTCCCGTCGTAAACTTTATTGCTTAGTTGCTGGCAGCTGGCAATCGGGACATCCTTGTCCGCATATTTTTTACATTAATGCTGGTGACATTTTTGGCACTTGGGATACCCTGATTTATCGGGCCCTGTGGCCCCGAAATCTTATTCGGGACCTTAAATGAGGCTGCGCTCTCGGGACATGCCTCCGGACCAACCGATCTATTTAAAGGCAGACCAGGCCCGTGTTCCTGCAGCCCGGGCGCTGGTTGGTACAAGGTTGATCCCCGTGGCCGAGAGTTTGCTGAGGGAGAGCAAACACTCCCCAGCTGCTGGTATCTCCTGGGTATGGCCCGTTCCGGCAAACAAAAAACAAAAACTGCCAGGCATCCGTTTCGATCCAAACATTTTATGCCCCCAGTTTAACACATAGATGTGTTAAACTATTAACACATTTATCAGATCTGATAAATGGTCAACTAGATGATCAAACCTTTACACGCAATGAAGGCGCATGTTTCGATTACCTATTAAAATCCCGAGAGATAGTAGCCGTTTTTACGACGGCCATCTGGTACACATTTGGTGCACATCTGGTACAGATTAGGTGCAGATCTGGTCAAATCAGGTTCAGTGTATCTCTTAGCAGCTACTCAGCTAGGGTTGCACTAATTGCTTATATGCCTGCTTTGTCATATTATCAGAGAGCATCATCGATTAAAACACTGAAATAAATTCATAAAATGAAGATATTTGCTGTAAAAGAAATTAGGTGCAGATTTGGTCAAATCAGGTGCATTCGCCGGATAGCCCGTCGTGAAAACTGCTAGGAAAACTCCTAGTATTCCAGCATATTTCATAACGCGAGTGACTTGTGCAGTGGAGGGCTTAATATGGAAATACACTGGGGAAGTCCCTCGAAACTTAAACAATAATGAAGAGAGTGGGTAAATATTTAACCAGCGCCTCTACCATACTCTGAAAAGAAACAAACCGAGCTGATAAAGTTTCCGGTGTTAATACACCGAACAGAAGCGTTGTGATGTTAGTGAGGCGTTTCTGGCATAATTCTGTCGTCAATTTATAGGACATCATCACCATAATCCGATTATTATTCCAAACACATATCCGGTAGCGGCAACAGTGAGGTCATCGGGGACAACTGTCTGCTGGGCGGCCCCCTGAGAGAACACCCCCCGCTCTGCATGGTTGAGACTAGCGAGCCTGATTTGAACGTGCCTAGTGTCGAGCGAGGATGGTTCCATTACAAAGTTCGGACTGTGACATAAATAGGTGTGTCATAAAATGTTATGAAAACGTCTCGGTATCCCAAAGTACAAAAACATCTAGTATCTAATGCACATGATGTCAGTAGGCCTATGTTTCTGTGACAAGAAGACGATGCCGAAGCATTTATGCCTATTTTTTTGTATGAACTTTTCACAATAAGTCTTTCTTTCATTTTCCTTGTCTTATTTTTCCTTCCCTGCTTTCTGTTATCGACGATATAGATGACAAGGAACCCGTATACTGAGTTATACGTTTTACGGCAGAAATGCTGCCCGCAGGTCCTGCTCGTGGTTGCGGTACTCCCGTCTGTTCCATCCGTGTCACCCTCGGGGGTCAGGTTGCGGCCTTACCGTCAATTCCATCCGTTTCGCCCTCGGAGGAGGTCAGGTAGAGCATCACGAAGATGAGTCCCACGGACATGGAGACGATGATGAAGGCGCCGGCCATCACGGCCATGACGATCTGCCGGCGCCGGCGCTCCTTGGGCTCCAGCTCGCTGGATGGCAGCAGGCCCGGCTGGCTGCCGTGCAGTCGCCGCGAGCTGCCGCCGCACGAGCCGGACCGAGAGGCCGGCCGGGACGAGGGGCGCCGCGAGTGGCGCCGGCCCGACTTCCGACCGGTGGTCGACACAGAGAGCTCCGAGGCCTGCCGAGAGACGCGCCGGCCGGCCGGCAGTTCCGAGTGACGGCGGCACAGAGCGGCACTGGCGCCGGCCGGCCGCGGCACCAGCTCACTGCTGCGCCGCGCCACGCGGTGCCGGGAGCGGCGCCGCTGCTCGACGGGCTCCCGGTCGTTGAGGTACAGACTGAGCCGGTAGTGCAGCGCGTCCATGTGGAGCGCGTCCGCGGCGCTGTGCCGTCGCTCCGGGACGGGTCCGCCGTCCTCTTCGATCACATCCAAACCGATGTCTACCTCGCAGCGGGTCAGGCGTCCACTCAGAGCGGGCTCGGCTGGCGGGGCGACCACGGCGCGGCCCGCTGATGACTCCGTGTCGGAGGCGGTCGCGCCCCCGTCGGCGAGAGCACCGACATCGGACGGAATGGCCGTCGATGGCTCCGACGAGACGGACATGAGTGGCACGCGTCCAACCGGCCGGCCGGCTGTCAGTGGTCGCACGCTGAGATCGCCAGCGGTGGTCAGCAGGCGCCCGAGCAGTGGAACCAGCACACTCGCATACACGCACATACGCACGGTGATGGCCGGAGCTGTCAAGAATGTCGCTGATTGGTGTCACAGACGAGAGTCACGGACGATATCCACGGACGGGATCTAGTCGAATCCACAGGCGGGAGCCACAGGCGATGCCAGAGACGGATGCCGAATGGATGCCGAGTGGTCCAAGCTCAACGGGCTTCCATCTCGCAGCTCAGCCAATGATTAACTGCTCTTGTGACTGGGTGGCGGCCAAGAACAGCACTCGGGAAGCCACTGCACGCCCGCCTAAATTGGACCGCCTGGTTTGGCTGACAGTCACGCGCTCGCCGTAACTTTTCTTGTACGTCAGCCTCAAGTGCCTCCCGAGTCCGAAAGCTGGTCGTCAATCCGAGTTGATGAGGTGCGCGGTGCTGGACGACTGTTGCCGACGGCGAGCGAGATCGAATTGCCGTCACGATTCAATGATGTCAGGATTGATGTCTTCAGTAAGCACGCTGTTGTGGTTTTGCTGCTCTTGTGATGATCCAATCCATCATTGGTATAGTTTTACCAGATCCAGCTGGTGGTCTTGTTTGTCCGCTGTTATTTACCGACTGTGTGGGTCGGAGCTAAGTTGATATGTTCTCGGCTCTGTCTTGAGATTGAATGCCGTCCTGACACGGCACCGTCTGCCTGCTGACGCTGCTCTGTCAGACAGTCTGGCTGACCAAGTGACGGTGTTCTGCACGTTCAGCGGCTCCGTCCACCGCCGGCGCCCTACTGAGGCTCATCGCGCCGCTCTCGGGGCCGGCCGTTCGGCCGAGCGCTATTTCGGAGCCGGCGCGCACTGTTTATACCCGCCGACCGGCTACAAAGTCGCCTTCTGTGTCTGGATCGCAGCCCACATCGGCGCCGCTGGCAGCGCCAAATCCTGGGCCGCCCTGCATCCGACGACCTGCTCTGACCTGGATCGGTGACAGCGCGCCCCGGCGCCCCCGGCGACCCCGGCCGGCCCTGGCCGACTTTAAACGACGACATCAAGCTGACAATTGGATGTCTCCGGGAAGCCCTTCCCGTGTTTCCGAGCCCATCTCCGGACAGCCGAGCTCCAAACGCCGCCGCGACACGCATCGTCGGCGGAGACGAGCGGACGCCGCCGGCGGGGCTGATAGCTCACGGCGGGGGAGGCGCCGCGCCTGTCACAAACGCGCTGAGTGGGCTGCGTGTCTGGCCGAGAGCCAGCTCAGAGATGATCGAGGGGTGAGGCTGGTGGGCGCGGCCACGCGTGGTGTGTGGGTAGGTGGACGAACTGACTGACACCCGCACAGGACACAGGACAGCACAGCACAGCTGCCACTATACGACTCACCGGGGACACCAGGACTAAAATGCATCGGGCACCACTGAGGCGCTTCGACAATTAGGGTCCACCTGCCTGGGTGAACATCACACACGCATAAATATCGACTTTCGCTCAGCACAAATACTCATCCCCGACAATACTGACATTTACATAGGATAGGACTCCACAAAGCTTCGATTCCTAACGAACAACGGACTGGACAATGGGACATGGGTAAAGTGAATGGAACCGCATACAACCCACACAATCTGGTATACCAACTCATGGAGTAGTCATGCCAGCAGCCATCCAGATAACGACTGCAAGTCATAGTTCATTGGGTAGCCCTGATCAGTTCACAGCTGGGGATGTCAGGTACGACAGACAATAGACAGAAGGCACGAACAGCCCACAGTCACAGGCCTCCTCACACGAAACCACAGCCCACAGCCAGGCCCCCTCACACGGAACCACAGCCCACAGACGGGCTTCCACACGGAAACAGCCCACTCTGAAGGTACCGTATCGCGCGTCTCACAGCCAGCACACTCCGGTGCATCCCTCTACCGTCCTCAGCTTCAGTGCACCGCTCTACCGTCTTCAGCTACGACGGCGGCGGGCCGCGTCTTTCTACTGATGACTACGAGCCGACCAGGGGTGACGAGCGGCCGTTAGATGACGGAGAGCCTTACGCCGCCGACGAACGTCTCAATGCCGAGCGGCGGCAGACAGAGTGTCGGCAGCGGCGGCAGGCGGAGCGGGCCGGCGCACCGGTACAGACAGAGAGAGGTGGCCGCCACCATCACCATCAGCCGCCCGGCGCGGTGCAGCTCGGAGGGGTAGCTGAGCACGGCCGGCGCTACGGCCGACTGGTCCACGGACACCGACCCGCCGCCTCGCGCCGGCTGCTCCGCCACTCCCGGCTCCGGCTCCGGTAGCTGCTCCGGCTCCGGGGAGCACGAGGGCGTCAGCTCGCTGCGCGCCCGCCGGCGGCGCGGGTCGCTGGCCTCGACCGCCGCCGTCCAGACGGCCCGCTGCTTCTGGAGGGCCGGCCCGTCATCGTGCGGAGCCGGCGCCCGTCTCAGATCGGCCTCCATGACACTTGTTTGTCGAACTTGTTGCCGCTGATGCGAAAAGTCGCAAAACGTCTGTAGTTCCCGTCAACGGGAACTATTTACTACTTGCCGCAGTACAGCTGTTTCTCACTCACTCCGTCAGTCAATGTTTACGTGTCGCTCTACGTGGGTTTCACCGTTCAGTAGCGATTTCAGCACCGCACAACAAGCTGGCTGTCTCACACACGTATGACCGCTGACCACTGAGCTCTCACCGCTCACCACTGAGCTCTCACCGCTTCTCACTGCTCACCGGCGACCGTCGAGAGCGCGCGGGCCGGCCGGACTGTCGGTGAGAGTCAGGTGACGGCCGGCCTGCCTGGACCACCGCCAGACCGGTTAGCGCACAGTGCCGCCGGGCGCCGCCCTCTCCTCTGCGGCCGCTCCAAGGGCACGCCTGCGACCGGGCCGACCGTTCACGGCCGTGCGTAAACAGTACGTCGCGTCGGCACGGCGGACTATCGCGGCACTGTGGGGGCGGATCAGCCCGCCGCGCAGTGCACGGTGACGTCAGAGGACTGTACTGATGACGTCAATGGAGTGATGTCAGCGGTGATGTCACGTGTTTGCGACGTCCGGTGAAAGTATGCGGGCTGGCATGACGGCAGTCTTGTGACGGTCCGCTGCTGATATGAGATTCGGAGGCGATCCGATGATATGAAGTTGCTGCTGAACAATAGGTGACGTGGGGTCTGACAGGACCGGTGCTGCTTCTTTGATTAGCTTTATACATTGACGGGTAGGCTACATTGTGAAGGACGTGTGAGAGCTTCAGCACTAACCGATAGGAAGCGGGTTGGGTCAGAACGGGGTGCTGCGTGCACACCTACTTCAGCCAGCGGTAATTGGCCGGCTATTCAGCACGTGGCCACGGTGATGTAGCCAGCATTGGTGCATTGGCCGTCACTCCGCTGTACCAGAAATCCTACATCGTTATACCGCCCCTTGGTTGTCGTGTGTTCCTATCGGTATATACGCGTACCTATGTCCTTCATACCGGCCTGGCCATTAGTGCTGTCTGCGCACATCATTGACCCACACCGGGGAAGGACGCCCTCAACTGATATCCTATCGGCGTCAGCTATTCAGTTACTCAATGGAGCATCTCAGAGACATTCAGATAAGCCCAAACATCCCTCGACCAGAATAGATAAGGCTCATCATTTCAAAGGAAACCCACAAAAGCGACTGCTATGATTGAAGCTCGGATCAGGAGGGAAAATATTGAGGTTCGAGGGCCGATATTCCAGTCTGATGGTGCATAGATAACTGAGCCTGAATGTTCTGATTGAACAGCGTTATACCTCAAGCACGAAGTAAACCTTATTTGCAATACCACTCTGACCGTACTATGTAAATAAACATGCTCACTATTCATTTCAGTAAGGGTACTTTTAGGTACTGTAAATTTGACATGTATACTTAATTACAACGTTTTTAGACGACCATTTTTTCTGCTAATTTTTCATAACTTCGGTGATTATGGTTGATTTATTGTAAAAGTAATGATGGTTTTTTTAAATCAAGCTGAGGAGTCTAAAGCACACGGAAAAGACGACACATCCGGTGAAAACTTTTCAATAGAGTGCCGCTATTTGACGGGGTAGTGCGAAATGAATTGATGAATATAAAGCATGGCCACATTTTTATGAAAACGACCTTTTCAAATCGGGAACCAAACGATCTCGGTTTTTATTTCTGTTTCTGAGCAAGTGTTCAGCACCCTGTTGGTATACCTTTAAGTACCTAGATGTGCTTGCCTTTTTCAACAAAACATAACATGTCAAAATCTGTTCAATGTTCATAATGTAGGTACGTAGTACGCACATTGAAGCATATAAAGGTATAACTTCATATGTGGGATATGGGAGGGAGGAAGGGAGGGTGCCGACTGCCGATGTGTCTTGCGTGCCTGTGTTGGGGGTAATAGTGTGTCGCTTGGGACGGGGCGGGGCGGGAGGGGGCGGGCTATGGTGGGGTCGGGTGGGAGGGGGCGATAGAGAGGGAGGGAGGGGAGTCTTTCCGTGGCTGTCGGTGCCTGGCAGGCCAACAATGAGTCGCCCACCGGCGCGACGCGGCGCCAATCCATTGGGTGTCAGGACGACCCGGCTTCCCGGACACGGTCACAAATGGGACGGCTGACCGCCTACCGGTGGGTAAGGTCACAAATGGGACGCCCGACCGCCTACCGGTGGGTACGGTCACCAGTGGGACGGCCGACCGCCCACCGGTGAGTACGGTCACCAATGGGACGTTCGGCAGTGGTGCGGTCACAGTGGTGCGGTCACAGCGGTGTGGTGCGGTTACAGTGGTGCGGTCACAGTAGTCGTAGATCACAGTAGTACGGTAGCAACGAAGTCACAGAAAATAATCAATACTAAATTGAGGATGAATTCGGAATGCGTTTAGGACACGAATTCATGATATAGGCTCCCTATCGATGGATATAGGTACGTACGCCTAGTTTTGGAGCTTTTTCCAATCTCCGTCACCTCTTAAACTGGGAGAGGGGACAGTTTGTTGCTGAGGTCATAAAGGAAAGATGGATGAAAATGAGATGCTCTGGTCGGGTGACCGTATATTCCGTTCCTCCACCGTCCCCTCACAATGAATCTCACCCTGTCGCGCTTCATCCGCCACCGCATTTATTGTTATGCCAGCCGGGCGGCAGCATGCGCTTAGATACAACGGTACTTTAGGGCGTGAAGCAGCGAACAATGTTTTGCTGGGCTCATGAACTGCATGTGAAGTGCTGTTGTTTGGCCTTAAGACATTTAGTAAAGCGCTGTGCTATTGGTGTTGGCTAGAGTGTTCAGTTGAGGAACTGATTTCTTGGCAGCATCAAGATACGATAGACTTTGTGTGCCCAACTTTTGCAATTTATTTTATCTTAACGGCAGTTCAGTGCAGCTGGCCTCCAGACAGTGCTGCCAAAGCCCATTTACAGCACTTGGTAAGATTGAGCACAGGAGTGTGACTGGGGTGGCGACAATTGTATTGGAGTGGAGCTGGGGTGGCAGCGATACTGCAGTGGACGGCTGTGGCCCGATATCCCGACACGGAGCTCGACTTCTCCCATCCTCGACACGATAACGAGGATTGAACGGCTTATTCTGGGTGGTGAGAGCCGTGAGGAGAGCTCAGTGCGTGGGTCGTGGGAGCTGGGGATAGCTGGGGACTGGACCTTTGTTGACGCGTGTCGTCTCTAACGGCTAAATTCTCGGAGAGCAGCGAATGAGGTGGCGCGGGGAGTCAGCTCAGGATCGGCGCGTGCCGTTTTCGAAACAAGCTAATGAAGGAGCAAAGAATGGGTGACCGACCGGCGCACTACCGTCTCGGCAGCCGCAGCCTCTAATGCGTGGGTCTCGACTGGCCTTGGTCGGTCGTGTGCGGGTGTCGACCTCGATCTGGCCGAGTCCGGAGCAGCGCTATAGCCGGACACAGCCGCGATCGATGTGACAACTGCCGAGATTGTAGCGCCGCCAACGCTACATAAGGCGGAGGACGGCCGGGAGAGGCCGGCTAACTGCCGCTGACGGCTCCCGCGGCCTCTGGCGGCCCCCCGCGGCCGTGCCGCACCGGCCAATCAGGGCCGCTGCTGAATGCAGGTCACCCAGGCTCAGAGGTCCTGCCGCTGGAGTCTGGTTTTAGACGGCTGTGTGAATGCAGCCTGCGGCAGTGTAGGCGTGACCCAACCGATGCGTTGATTAAACTCGCGCCGGAAAGCACCCTGACCCCCTCTCTCCCTCTCGCTCTCTCTCTCTCTCTCTCTCTCTCTCTCTCTCTCTCTCTCTCTCTCTCTCTCTCTCTCTCTCTCTCTCTCTCTCTCTCTCTCTCTCTCTCTCTCTCTCTCTCTCTCTCTCTCTCTCTCTCTCTCACTCTCTCTCTCTCTCTCTCTCTCTCTCTCTCTCTCTCTCTCTCTCTCTCTCTCTCTTTTCTCTCTCTTCCCTTATCACACAAATATAAGTCGATTCAGAGTGAGAATGGAGTTACGATTGGAATAGCTATACATAGTATGTCCTAAAAAGTCGCATAAATAACAAATGATTTAAATCGTTGGTAGCTTATGAATTGGCGATCTAGCTTAAAAAAGAATTTGAGGAATTCTAGCGTCTGGAAGGTGTATCAATAGCAGCTAAGAATATTCTTATTTTACTATCATTTCTGTGGAACTTGGCTTCCATGATGTCCATAAATAAACTAAAGCGAATTCGGTGCTGCAGAAGACTGGTCCTCCATCAGGGCCAGCCGTGAGCCACCGAGGCCCACCTGAGGCGGCCGTCTGGTCTGAGTACATAGTTGACCTTTGTCAGAGCACCCTCGACCGGTTAAAGTCGCCGTGAATTTCTGCTAAAGCTCGCCGGCCTGCTGGCGCCTGGGGCCGCGGAACAGCTCCGTCAGGTCACCCGTCTCTCAGTTACGGCCCCAGTGCGGTTAGACGTCCCAGCTCGAAATGTCACTCAGAGGCTTCAGCGAATAGCGTGCCCTGTCTTGAAGGACATCTGTTTCGAGCCGGACCGACCGACGACTTGTGTGACAAATAATGGCACCAGCTGTCAGCACAAATCTGCACATTGTATTGTGGTGATGATTATTCTGGATTCATCCTTTGATGCTATGATTATACTAAAATCTTTGTTTAATTCACAAGGTCATAAAGTTTCTACGTTTCTCGGTTTCTTCTCCGCAAAATTTAGGATTCCGGTGTTACGTCTAAGATGGTGCAGAACAACTGTTCAGAACAAACACAATTTATAACTTAAGCCAGCCGAAAATGGATGGAGGCTTTCTAAGCACAGAAGACTTTTAATTTGGGCAAAATAAGGCTTAGAAATCAGCATTCTTACCGGCCTATATGCGTACATATCATATAAAGGTAAGCATATAATGATTAAACAAAACGTAAAAATAAGCGCATCGCTTTCGCCCGCCAAGTAGCATCTCGCTCAGGTCCAGCAACTCTGCTGAAAATACACCCATTTA